CAAATAAATAAAATTCTGTATTTTGATGCATCGCATAAATTGCCTGCCTGCGTCTTAAGCTGCGCTCTGTCTCTGAACAGGTGTCACGGGTTATAGAGACGTGTGGGTTAAACACACAAATTGTTTTGAACGTTTTCCAGCGGATTTCATTCCCAGATCTTCCAAGGTTGAAGGTTTCTCTGAGATGTTTTGGCTTATCGTTTGTTATTTATTGTTTCCAACTTCTAACAAAAATGTACCAAAACAAAGTTTCGAACATCTTATATTTTAGAATTCGACTCGAAAATTAGGTTCTGAGGAATTAAAGGGATTCTTCTCATGTGTTCTTGTGTCATAATAGATCCAGCACATCTAAATAACAGCTGAAAGATCTGTGATTCGATTCCTAGTGAAGGCAGAGTTGATTTTTTATGTGTCCCGCTTTGAAAACTCTTAAATACTATATGCAGGCAGCCCTTCATCCGCCGGAATTAATTACCGATGTTTATTCACAAACTTGCCACTCAGTCAGTACTGTGACTTGAGACATTTCCGACCAGAGGACCCGAGTTTGAATCTCGCGGAGGCATAGGCGTTTGGGAAGACACTGTCGGCAGTATAAGTAGTTTTGAAATTTTCGTGACATGTTTAGGGAACAGGGTTAAGGGTAACAACTCTTAAATTCCATGGATGAAACTGAGATGGAACTAGAAATCTACTCTTACCACTCATCTCAAAGTCACAGACACAAAACAGAAACTATCCAAGCTTTGTGGACAACTTTCTTTGTTACAGATCAGGATATCTTTTGTTACACCCACGGCAGCAGTGAAAATGTAATGGAAATTTTTAGGATTGTGTAGGTTTGCAGACAAAAATTGTATCAACGTACCTTCTGGAAAACATCGTGTAGCTTAACTATAAGAAGCCAAACGTGGGACAGAGTCAGTGGATCCACTTCTATGTATCGAACTTGCGTGTGACTGCTATTGGACTATAACAAAGTATGCGTCTGTCTAAAGAACGAAATGCGTTTGTGAACTGAAGAAAAACTTTATAATTGTTGTTTATGGAAAAATTGCAAAACCGCTAGCTTATAGATGCAGCAGACTGACAAATGGCGGAGTGATTAAAGCTTGGGAACACCAGTAGTTCCCAAGCTTCAATCCAGCTTTTTAAAGCATCAGTAAAAGTAAGGATAAGGATTTTCTAGCAATGTAACGGGCTGGCTACGTAATAATTTCATAGCTTTCCCTATAGCTTAAATATTGTCAGTTTTTCTTAGAAACTTCTCCATGTCGATCCATTCCCACCGAAGGATAGATACAGGTGGCTTCACTGTAACCAAATAATACAGTCCAATGTAAAGAGAGACATTTCTTTTTCAAAGAAACATTTTAGAATCCTTAAATGTTGCTTTTTTAAAAGAAAATTAAATTTAACTATTGCACGGAATCGAACCTAAATTCTCCCCGCTAGCAGTCGAGGGTTAGAGTCGCTGAATGCAGTTAGTTCGACCTGAGTTCAATTCCGAGCTGGCTGAGTGGGTGTTTCCGTGGTTTTCCGCGTGTGTAACGCGGATAGGAGCTGGTTTTCCTTGGAGAATTCTCCTATTAAGCAGATAGCTCTCGCATGCTTTGCCATAATCAGATGAACACATAAACAAGCATACAAACATAGAATTTCGCAGTTGCCAACTGGATGTGCTGGCCACTACACCTTATGGGAGAAACATCTTTAATTCATTTCATGTTTCCAATTAATGGTCAGCTGAGGAGGGAGAAGGTCTAATTGGCAAAATCAGTATTACGAATTTGAGCCCCAGTGTGCAGGCAATAACACTTTCGGGAGCAGGAAGACTGCAAAAGATCTTGCCTTCGGTGGGAAGGTTTGGGAAGAATTATAAATTAAAAGCGATGTTTGAAGTAATTAATAAGAAAATAAGCTAGAGCTTTTCTTCATTCAATCATGGCTCTTTGCCACACGACGACTCTCTGATTAAAAGGATAAGGATAATGACGGAGAACTTTCTAAGGAAAAACGAGTCGTATTCCTGTTACGCGTGGAAAAATTATTAAAACAATCCCCATTTGCTAAGATTCGAATTCGTGTCGGACTGTCAGTTCTCCAGGTTCAACCAAACCACTGGTGATGCGTCGGATAGCCGAAGTGGAAGAAAAGCATGGTGGTTTGAAACATTCGCTGAAACAGTTTAAACCAAATGAAAATGAATTAGGTGATGAATTACTGTAATTAGTAAAATTCATTAGTAATTGGGGATGTGAGATTAAACTCAAAACTCAAAAATATATTTGCCTATTATTAACCTAATCACTATTTCTCGTGGACAGCTGCAGCAGTTTCTGACAGAAGCGTTGCTTTAGATCCTATGACTGTAAACCTCTTTATTATTCAATTTTATGAAAGTCCATCTTAAGTAACGTCTGAAGATGGATTACACATGGTCTGTTCTGCGATAACTGCGAATTTCGGTGGTACGTTGAAAAGTAATTTGGTTATTATCACGAAAACTCATTATTTATCTTCCCACTTAACTGCTTTTGAAATGGAGCATTCGGAATAAATTACAGTGACGCCAAGGTCCTCTTTTAACTGTCAACCGCGCTTATTGTGTGAATGAGCACAACATTCTTAAAAACGACATGGACGAGTAGTTTCCCCAGTTCTAAATTCGTCTGTTTATATTTTGGAGAGAGAAAGTTCAGACACTTAAAAAAAGGGCTACCGTTCGCAAATGACCCGGATGATGCTTCTTGCCTTTTCTGATCTTTTGTTCTTTTTTATGCGTCTGCAGACGTCACAGCCGTTCCAGTTCATTCTTGTTTTTGTTTAAAGAATGTGGCAACAATCTTGCTTTTGTATTGTCTTTATTCCTGAAGTTGTTATTCTAAGGCAATGTTTTCATTTATTTGTTTACAATGTTCAAAAGTTACAGAAATAACTCTTGTGCTTCAGAGCCTGCTTTTGTGTTTATTTAAATTTTGGTTGCTGTCAGCCCGATGGTATTATTCATTATCGAATGCGTGGAGGAACCTTCATGTTCTTTTGTTTTCATATGGGGTGCAATTAAAGTCGTGGTTTGAGGAAAATTACTCTAACTTCGCTAGACGTTTTTTTGGTTTATTTCACGCAGATCTTGGTTAAGCTCTTTTTCGGTAACATTAAGTATTACCAAATTTTGTGAATAGTGGCACGAAATTATTTCAGTTTATTTATTTGTTGAAATTATAAATGACACTATTAAAATCTTGTTAAATGAAATTAAAAACGGTTTGATGCTACGACGTTTTCCCATTTGTATTAAGTCATTCTATAAAAAATCTCCATCTAATGAAAAAAGCATTACACAAGTGATGGAATGTATCATTTGGATAAGACGGCAAACTATTTTACATCATCTTAGGGTCATATGAACATAATCCGAGAAAGACATCCCTGGCTTCTGAGAAATTCTCAGAACCACACAGTGGATACTATCCATAATTGTATTTTAACTACTTCGCATAATTTTCAAACGTATACATAACTCTAGCTATGAAGACAAGTATAAACTTTCTTCAAACTATAACCTTACTGTAGACCAAAAATGCAGACCTCGTTGTACCATTCCTCACAAATACATCTGGTTGCAACAGCCAATTCTAGTTTCAATATTACGTTTGCTTTTCATTGCAAATTTACAAGGACTTAGAATATTTATTTCACTTTTTTGGTAACAACCATCATTGTAGATTTCGCTAATTTGGAATTTTGTCAAAATGCACTAATAATAATAGCAGCTGTTATCCCCCAAATTGACAGCAATAGTCAGTGTGACTACTGGGCGTGAGATCAAAATTTCGTATGAACTTAGCTGAAATTCTGGACTGATTTCGCTCTACGATTGTGCTTTGCGCATCATTTCTAAATCGTGTGATTGCGTCTAGTGTGTTATTTGAACATTTAATAGAAGAGAAGTCACCAAGAGCTAGAAGTCACCAAAAGCGACTTCTAGCAAGAGTCTTGTAGTATAAATGAAATTACTTAATTTGATTTGACATCGTAACGCGCTTATATTATGATGTCACCCACACACGCGTAATAGGGCACTTCGTTATTTTTACAAAATGGTCCAAATTAAAAGTACGAAGTTTATTGTTTTGTTTCGTTTTACTTTATAATCTATTTTCAACTGTATTTTAATTGCAACTCCCGATAGTACGTAATAATACATGTATAAACTATGTGATAAATTTTCTTCTGAAATAGTCATGAATTATGTTCTGACATAATGTAACTTTTTAATATTTCTTCGGTTTTTCTGATTTAAATTATGTATTAATAATATTTTCTAATCCGTAATAATCAATTAATTGTATCTCAGTTGTTTTGAAGATAAACTGCAACACCAAATTGTATTTCACGCAAAATGGTATTGTATAATACAAAATATTCGGTTCATGACATAGATTTTTGTTATACTGCTTTAAAAGTTTTCTGAAGCTGTTCATATTAAGAGGTTTGTTTTTAATTTTTACGTTAACTTCCTTCAATAATCCTGATGGCTTTTGCATTGCGTTCTGTAATATGAAAATTGCATTACTTTTGTTATGTTAAACTTGTATTGTGTTCTGTAATCATAATAATATCACTGATATGATCATGATAATGTTACTATGTAAAAATGCTTTCATAATGTATTAATATTCATTCATATTCATAATATTCATTCATTTTAATTTGATATGCGTATATTCAAATGCATTATTTTAAAGACCTTCTATAGCTGTGCAGAGTTTGGGAGAAATCATTGATGCAGAAGTCGAGCCCTGCCATTGTACAAAATAATTGAATGTAGCATAGCGATTGTAGTAAGCTTTGACCGTGAAGTTCATCAACCAGAATGTGCATAGATTTCCTAGGAACATTTCGTATTTTAAACTAGAATTATTATATATCATTCCAAATGGCAGTGTGTCTTAGTGTTTAGGATGTAACATCTGTTATTCTTTCTCTTCCAGCCCACGTCGAGCGAGTGATAGAAAGGCATGTGTTCTCTGGCGTGCAGATCCCTGGAGTGGAATGGAAGATCAAGGGTCATAGGGGTCGAGCCGCTCGTATCAGCTACCGATATCGTGTTCTGTGTTCTCCTCACTATTACGATTACACTTGTGCCAAATTTTGTAGGCCGAGGGACGATCGGTTTGGACATTACAAATGCGACGAGCAAGGGGACAAAGTTTGTTTGCAAGGCTGGCAAGGTCCCAATTGCGAAACAGGTTGGTGAACTGAAATTCTTTTCTTTCCGTAGGTAAAAGTCATTTGTATATATAAGCATAGAATTCACTTTTTTTTACAGAATTAAGTCACTGGGTAATTTATTAATAGTCACTTGGTCTTCTTGTTGTTCAAAGCACAAGCATAGTCTAGAGCAGGGTTTCTCAGCCAAAGGGGAATTACCCTCGGGCAAAAATTTCATAGTTTCAGGAGGGAATGACTTCATCCTTTTATTTACATGTTAAATATTTAGTTTTAGTTTATGAGTACAAAACACTACTTTTGTTCAAGTTTTGTTACTTATCAACATTTTGTATATTTTTTCTCATTTAACTTAAAACACGTTTAAAACAATCTAAATTTAAATAAATGTATTTGTATTTTTTGAGTTTTGGGAAGGTAGGTGTGTGGGGGTGATGATCTAGTAATGGGGAAAGGGGTGCATATGACGAAATGATTCAGAACCTTCGGTCTAGAGCTTCTATAATAAGTACAAGTGAGAAAATGTATGTTTTCATCTTTAATATAGATTCATTAAAAAAATCCTTCAACTGATTTTGAAATATCCTGTATACAATGGGGGGGGGGGGAAATTTTTTAGCTTCTGAGGGTTAACTCCCAAAATATCCTTAATTATTAAAATTTAGATTAGTTAAAATTTTATAATCCTGTCAAATTTTCTTTAACTTTTGTGTTGTGTGTTAACAATTTTTTTCCCCTCACCTAGCTGTGTGCAAGCTTGGTTGCCATCCAGAGCATGGTTACTGTACTGTACCAGGGGAGTGCAAGTGAGTATTTCTTTTCTTTTCTTTTTTTTTTTTTTTTTTTTAATCTTTGCTTTCATTCACCCTACCTATGTTATGGAGGCACAGATAAACACTAACATGTGTAGGTTGTATCAAAAGAGATTGCATGACTAAATATTTCTTAATCGTCTTAACAAGGCCGTTAATTCCAAGGCAGGCGCCTTCCAAGTTGTGATAGTTTTGTTCAAGTGATACGTTTTCGACAAAAACATAAAGAACTAACCCCCCCTTTTTTTTTTCAATTTTCTAGATAGCCCTAATTAGTGGACTGTTTTTTTTTTGCCTTATTAACGGCCGTTTAAAAAAAAAAAAAAAAAAAGACAGATTTTCGTAGTACGTAAGTCCATAGTGTTTTGTAGTTTTTATAAGCTTTTATTTAGTTCATTTATGGTATTTCACTATGAGTAGAATTTTGTCATCGATTTTTAACCTACTTCCCGATAAGCTATGGAGTTCAAATTTTGTGCGCTTACTATTTATCGATGACAATGTAATGCTGTGAATCAATTTTTTTTTTCAAAAATTGTTTAACTTTTTTGTTTAATATTTAAACGACTTTTCTTCTATATATATCTTCGGATAAAAAAAAAAAAAAAAAAAAAAAAAAAAAACTAAACATATCAGACTTTTATTGTTTGCCCCATCGATTAAAGAGGGGGGAATGAAACTTGTTACTTGATTTCTGAATTTTGGGCAAATTTTTGACCGTCGCTCGACTTTTTAAGACTATTTGACGTCTATAATTTGAAAATGAAAATTTCAACATCTAAAAACGGAGCAGATATAAAGTTTTGAAACATTCACAGATTATAAAACAAATTTTTCGCTCTCTTTTAGAACCAGAATGATAAAAAGAAAATCAACTGAGCGGTTTTCTACATTTTTTTTTTTTTTTTTTAAATGTGTTGCACTCTAAAGCAGACGAGAAGAAAAAAGCGTGTTGAGTTTGTCATCTTAGTGCAGCTTATGACGAAGTTTGCGGAAACTGCTTGTTGTAACCTTGCTATTACATACAACTTCCGAAATTGAATATTTGAAGTTATTTCTTCATTGTCTGAAAGACATTCGACTCTTTATCCCATAACTATAATTTATTGCATGTGTTTTAATAATGACCAAAGACTTTGTAACTGATAAGGTGTAACTGAAACTGAAAAACAGAGAAAAAAAAAAAAAAAAAAAAACAGTTATAAATAATGTTTTTTTACAATAAACGTTTATTTAAAATAGATATATATGATAACTAATACACTCAAAGGAAAAAATAATTTATAATATAGTTTAATGGGAATAATAATAGTACAGAATTTTTTTACAATTTTAAATCGCGAATTATAAAAGCGTGGAACGCCTAAATAATGAAGTCTGTTAATTTAATTTCATTGTCAAATGTATTGTTACGAATTTTGTACTTAGATAGATAATTTTTATAGAATTATAATTAAAATTGTTATATTTTTTCTGTGTAATGTAGCACGAGAAAAATTTTACGAGAAAGCTGTGCCAGAAAAGTAAGAATACGGGGGCACGTCCATTTAACATTAAGTAAATGGGTATCTCGGTAAATGGGTATCTCGGTTTGTTTTGAAATTCAATAAATGTAATTGATCACTATTTTAGCTGTAACCGTAATTCCACCCTCATATTTCTTTCCAGTAATTTTGAGAAGTACTAGAAATATCTCGCGACCGATTGAAAACTATAAAAGGTCGGAGAGAGAGCGTCTGAGTTCAGTTGCTTAGTTATTGTTGTTGGGAGTTATTTAGCTTCGCGTGAACTGAGATATCCGAGTTAGCTTTCTCTTTAGATGTGCTTTGCATTAAAGTTTTGGTAGTTTTAGATCTAATTATTGATTATACTGCGTAATATTGTGAACACTTGTACGAATATCTCTGAGGAAAATTCCAGAATTCTGATATATTTCTTTTGATAAGAATAAATTGCATTAACCTATCATCGGCCTAGTACATTCAATCTATTACGAGCCCGTACGCACGCAACAGTATAAATCATTATCTTTTCAAATATTCTGTTAATTTAAATGCATTATCAAATGCATAAGCCATTATTTTTTTTAAATTTATCATGGGAACTGTAGATGAATTATGTAAAGGGAATTATTTAATCTATTATTCCCATTAAACTGTATCATAAATGATTTTTCTATTTTTAGTTCATTCATTATCATATTCATTTTAAATAAAAGCTTATTGCATAAAAACGTTTTTTAAATTGAGTTTTACTTATTTATTCCTTTATTTGTGTCAATTGTGATATCGTTAATATTCTCAATAGGTATGATAAGTTTCATCCATTAAGCAACGATCATCATCGCTTTTGTTCAATTTTTGATTTTTAGTTAAAAGGGAGAAAATCAAGTTGTGAAGGTTTTTATTAATGGGATTCATTCACCTGGAAACATACTCTGGAAGCGCTTTTCTTTCTGCCGTTGAATCCGCCTTCAGTGAAATAAAAAGCAGTAATATTCACTATCCTCAAACATTAGTGGATTGAGCAGTAAATACAGTTTAAGCAATCTGTTACATTGTATCCATCCCTATTAAGTAAACGACATGCAATCTCTCATGACGATCGGCGGGCTCAACACGATCCGATTGTCGTTATGTGAGTATTTTTGTCTCATTAAAACTTCCCGTCACGAGAGACATCGGTCACAGGTGGTATAGTTTGGCTTGAGGTCACCCATGCATTGAAAGATACGCCGTCATATCAGCATGACCGAAGTGAAAACGAATGTTCTGTTGCCTCCCTCGTGCATGCAAATTGGCTCATCACAACGAAAACTTTTTCCGTGAATGTTAAATATTGCGTGAGAATGACTGAACCTTTTTGGTCCTTGAAATCTTATACGTTTTGATATCTTAACAAGGAGAAATAGGTGATTAAAGTAGGTAATGGAAAAAAAATATATTTTATGCAGTATTTTTTTCCGGTTTTTCTTATATACTAATATTTTAAAGGCTTCTTGCTTTCCCCCTTTTTTAATCAAAAAATTAATTTAAAATGTTTAAAAATTTTGACTACGTAAATAGAATTTAATAACAGTTCTCATTTGTAAAAGTAAGTTTTTTCATAAAACTGAAAAATAATTTAAAGTCTTGAACGAATACTAGTTTTTAATAGCTCCTATTAACCGTTCATATAAATTACTTTAAAAGAGTATTGAAATTAAAAAAAGTGTTAAAAGTTTTGGTGCTATGAGTTGCTCTAATAACGGTTTTTTTTATAAAAACAACTTATAGTTTGTAATAACAGTTATTTTTGTACAAATAACTTTTCTATATAAAATTAAAAATAATCAAACTTTATGATAGTATGAATAGCTTCGAATACAAATAATTTTTCTAAAAGTAGCTTTTTCGGCATTAAGTTAAAAATAATTAAAACTTTAGTGTTATGAATATCTCCTATTAACCAGTCTAGTGCATTTAATTATTCACCGATTCCTTTATTTTTTACAATACATTTTTTATTTTCGAACCTTTTGCCATTTAAAGCCAGCCAGCATTTTTGCCAGCCATTTAAAGTAGTTATTATAAAGAAGAAAATATATAACGATTTTAATGAATCCAACTAGTGTAATTTCACGGATGCAGGTAGTAATTAATAATAATATAAAGAACTGCGTTTATATCACGCATTTTGTTAATCAATAACAGACGGAATAAACTTGGAAGAAAAATTAACTCTCTTAAGCTTTGTCGAATGGCAATACGCTGGCACGTAGAAGATAAAAATATTTATTTCGGGCCATGGCAACATATTTCTGCTAAATCGCCGAGTTTCCTTATTAAATTTGAAACATAAATATATTACGCTTTACCCAGTGGCAACAGATTGCTTTTAAATCTCCGAGTTTTTTTTTTAGTCCAAAGGGATTTGAATCCCGAAGGACTATTAGTTTCGTTTTGGCATTTTGCGTCGGACTCATAAATGTCGGTTCACTTTTCAAACTGTTGCCACAAAAATGTTAGAGTCCTGCATTATATTTGAAGAAATTAAATAATGAAAAATATGCATAAATGTATGTATATTTCTCGTATTGTGAAAACAACGGTACATAGAGTCATCGAATTTTGAATAACGTAATCCTCCAACGAATCTGAGCATGTGGAAGACCAAATTTGAATTTAAAAATTTGTTTTATGATCGATTTCCTATTTTTTTAAAAACTTTGACGAATTTTTGGTTAACAAACTCAAGGATTTCAAAGCGAGCAATAGCAACGTTGTGCAGAAAAAAACATTTTTATCTCCAGCGCGTGAGTCTTGAGTCTCTGTATCGGAAATTCTAAAAGATGCTCGTTTTAAAAATATTTGCGATATTGCTGTTGCACTGGATCTTATGGTTTAAGTGCGAGGAACATGATATTTAATAAAGAAAGGTAACACACAAATGTTAAAAAACGCCCCTTTGGACGTAATTTAAAATCTGAAACATTTTAGATTTTTTCATTAAATTCATATGAAAACCTTAAGGTTTGTCTTGGTATCTTGGTAATTTAGAAGGGGAAAGGGAAACAATTGAAAGCCTGTGAATTAAATTAAGATTCAACGTTTTTTTTTTTTTTTTTTTTTTTTTTTTTATATATATATCAAAATGCTATTAAATTCGCTTGGGTGAAGGACTACATGAGTTTAAAATTTGGTGGCTCTAAATGCCGACTTTTTTCCACAATGCGATGATCATCCATCCATCCATTCATTCATACATACATATAGATTCTTTACAGTTTAATAATAGAGATTACTTCTAAATGCATTAAATTAGAGAGGGAAAAGAATAGCTAAAACAGAATACGAAAACGAAAGATTCATAAATTTTCAAATTCGAAATAATATATAAGGTATTTCTCCCACCTTCCTAGCGTGCCTTCGTGGTGTAGTAGTTCTGCACGCTGGGCCGGTATTCCAGAGATCCGTGGTTCGATTCCCGGTGAAGGCATTGTTAATTTTTCATCT